GGCTGCGGAGTAGCCGTGGCCCTGGGAGCGTGGAGTTAGGGAGGTGCCAGGAGAGCCCAGCCCTGAGCCGTCCCGGGACCACAGCCACACGGACGGCTCAGGTGCACGTCGAATGGACTAGAGGTGGCTAACGGGGTGTCCTCCTGTGGTGGGGCGCTGCCACAGGGCTCACCTCACACTTTTAGCTGATTTTGTATTTGTTAATCTAGTTTTGATATAGAAGTTCTTAGCCTCTTTCCTTTGCATCTGCTTTCAAACTTCTGTACACAGCACATGAAGGTTGCATAGAAAAGCCCATGTGGGGATCTAAATGCCTCTTTCTCTGACCAGTGGGTTTTACACTTTTTTTTCCTTACAAAAAGTGTTCTTCAAATAAAATCTCACATTGTGCAATAATATTATAGCTAACATATTTATTGAGCACTTAGTACGTGCCTGTCATCATGCTAAATGCTTTGTGCTTTCTCATGTTGTCCTCAACACAATGCTATAAAGTCCTGTATCATGTCACCTGTTTTACGAAGGGAGAAAGAAAGGCACATGGGTGTGACCCTTTTCAAGGTCACAAAACCCGTAAATGGCAGAGCTATGAGTGGCTTATCTGGGCCTATTCTGGCTCCTGCAGCCCAGAATTAAAGTGGAGGAGCCTGCTTAGGGATGGAGGTGGAGAGAGAAGGACTGAAGCCCCATCTTCTCAACTGTCACTTCCACTCCCTTCTCTGGTGGTCCCTGAGGAACCTCTGCGAAACCCCTAAAGCCTCTCGGGAACCCCAATTTAGAAGCCTCTGCAGCATGACAAAGTATCAGCAAGATTCCAAAGCAAAGGAGGTGCCGCATGTGCGCATGGCACATTGGCTGTTAGGGGAGGGGTGTGGGCCATGGAGGCTAAGGAGCGAACTCCAGAAAGAAAGTAGCGGCCAGGCCAGGGTGTTCAACGACTATCCGAGGGTTGGCTCCTGGAGCTCAGTTGGAGAAATCATCTTTTAAAAATATCATCTGCATGTGAACTACATGCAGCCTCCCCACCACCAACCCTCCCTCCCACTTGGGTACATCATTCTTTACTTGGAAAAAGCCACAGACCAGGCAGGGTGAGTTCATGAAATTCTAGCGCATTTTGCAATCTGTGACTGTCCACCTTCCAGCCTGCAGTGCAGCCAAGCAGAAGTCCTGCTTCAAAGAGCAGGTCAGAGTCGTCTGTGGTTAGCACACCACGGCAGATTCAGCAGCACTCTGCTCAAGCCATTTGAAGGGTTTTTGAGAACAGCTGGTTTTCCTAAATAGGCTGAGTATTCCCCCCTCCCTCTCCCAGTCATCATTTGTCTAGAAGGCACATCATTTTTTTTCTTCTTTTCCTTCCCTTCCCTCGGGTCTCAAAATATCTAAGCTGTTAACAATTCTGAACTGGGAAGTTTGAGATGGAAATCTCTGTTATTTTTGTTCAATAAGGACAATAAAAAGAGGAGAGGGAAGGCTGTTTTTCCACTCAACAGGGAAGGTGAGCAGTTCCTGGCTAGGGTGAGCTCTTCCCAAGTGCCAGGCATGTGACTAAACACTTTCTACACAAAATCTCATTCAATCTTCCCAACTCCAGGGGGCAGAGGAAAGCATATCTCGAAAAATGGGCTGCAGGTCACATGGCTGGTAAATGGCAGTGCCTGCCCATGCACCTGGGTGAACAGGAAGCTGCCACTGGGACAATCCTTAGGGGGACCCCCGAATTCAAGATAGTATTTCCTGGGAGGGGGGTAAGAACCTCAAGAGAGGTGTCTCAGAGCCTGTTGGCCACGGAACAGGGGAAGTTGGCTGAGCAGTGCCCAGAGGCAAAGCTGGCTGTTCCCTGATGCATTCCTGTCTGAGAAGGCTTTTGCAGAAACTCAGTCAGATGCGCTGTCTGGGGCATTTCCTCATTGAAAAAGATGGAAGGTCCCTCCTGCTTTTCCTCCCATGTGTGGGACACAGAGGAGAGCAGGGGCTATGAGGCTCACCTGGTGCCCGGGTAGCTCCAAGAGAGATGTTCATGCCAGGTGAACGTTTTGCACCTAACTTCGACCTTTTGGAGGTCAGAGGTACTCAGCTTCCCCTGAAATCCTGAGGGCCAGTGGCTACTCAAAAGCCTGGTTCCATCCCTCAGGGAACCTTAGGAACCTGGGCCAGTCTCGAAGGATATTTTATTTTCACTGGCTGCATGCTTTGGTGGGAATTTCTGTTCTCTCAATGGGTGGTGGGAAGAGAAAACTGTGTCTTCAATATTGCCTGATGTGGGAATCAGAGAAGCTTCTGGAAGGGATTCTAGCAATGACCTTGTCTAACCTTTCATGGTGCTGATGGGAATGCAGAAGCCTCTGGCTGGAGAGCTGGGTCTGAGTGGCCAAGGGTTGGCTGGACTGAAGTAACTTGGGCAATGCCGCTGGTGATCACCTGCTAACTTCATTCTTTAAAATTGTGGTAAAATATCCATAACATAAAACGTACCATTTTAACTCTTCTTAAGGGTACAGTTCAGTGGCATTAAGTGCATTCACACTGTTGTGCAGTCATTGCTGCTATTCACTTCTAGAACTTGTTCATTATCCCATACTGAAACTAATACTTTTTTTTTTTTTTGACATGGAGTCTCCCTCTGTTGCCCAGGCTGGAGTGCAGTGGCTCACTCACAGCTCACTGCAGCCCGGACCTTCTGAGCTCAAGGGGTCCTCCTGCCTCAGCCTCCCAAATAGCGGGGACCACAGGTGGGTGCTACCACACCCAGCTAATTTTTGTATTTCTTTGTAGAGACAGGGTTTCTCCATGTTGCCCAGGCTGGTCTCAAACACCTGACTTCAGGTGACCTGCCTTGGCTTCCCAAAGTGCTGGGATTATAGGCATGAGCCACTGTGACTGCTCCCTGACCTTTATTTTGAGATAGTGTCTCTGTCACCCAGACTAGAGTACAGTGGCATGATTGCAGCTCATTGCAGCCTTGGCCTTCAGGGCTCAAGGGATCCTCCTTTCTCAGCCCCCCAAGTAGCTGGGACTGCAGATATGTGCCACCATGCCCAGCTAATTTCTAAACAATTTTTTTGTAGCTATGAGGTCTCACTGTGTTGCCCAGGCTGGTCCCGAATTCCTGGGCTCAAGTGATAATCCTGCCTCAGCCTTCCACAGGGCTAGGATTACAGGTGTAAGCCATGGCGTCCAGTCAGTCCTTCTATTTTTTGAAAACACTTATGTGTGCTTACCAGGTACCAGACTCTGTCCTAAACACTTCCCATATGATAACTCATTTCATTTGTGAAACTACTCTACAGGGTAGCATTGTGGTCATTCCCCTTTTACAGATGAGAAAACTAACTGGGACGTGAGAGGTTAAGATGACACAGCTAGTGTCAAAGCCAGACTTCCCTTTTGGAACACACCAGGTCTTTATGACACAGAGCTTCACTGCCAAGGCCATTGCCTGGGGCAGGTGGTTGTGGCCCACCCCTCCCACCACCACCCCAACTGCCTCCCAGCAGAATAGGCAGAAAGAGGGGGCTCCCACGATGGCAGGTCTGGGTTAAGTGAGGCCTGGCCTTCTGCATGGGCAGGGAGAGGCCCTGGAGCTGGGCCCTACCACCGGGGGACACATAGGGAGGGTATGGGGACTTGAAAGTTTTCATTTTCCTCCTTCAGGTTTAACCTCTTAACCAAATTTCAAGGGAAGGAGATGGAGTACATTTTTCACATCTTTCTGGGAAATAAGGTGCTTCTTAGGCCTAAAGGAGCATTGGACAATGTATCTGCTTGATTCAAGTCCAAATGCAATGATCTAGACCTTGCAGATAAGGGTAAGAGATTTCACGTATGTGTGTGTGTGTGGGGGGGGTTGGGGGCAGGTGTGGGGTTGCATTATGCAGGTAAGTGCCTCGAGTCCGTGTGTGCGGCCTGGCCCCTAGCCCCAGAAGCAGGGGCTCCTGGTAGTGGACATGTTGCAGCCCCCGAAGGCATGGCCCCTCTTGCACACTGCCTGCCCCCAGACACTAAAACACTCAGTGAGGACTGACAGCTTGATTGGCACTTGCATACCGCGGAGCAGTGCCTGCTCCTGTTGTGCCATCAGTCAGCCAGGTTTGCTGTGATGTGTGGTCACCCAAGTACCTCAGGGACAGAGGCCCTCAAAGGGCTTCTGGGGCAAAGCTTGGCTGGCCTCCCTCCGGCATGGGATTTTCTCAAGGTCCCATGCTGCCTTCTCGGGTGGAGACATCTTGGCTGAGAGAGAGGAGGAAGGGTAGGAAGGGTGGCCTGGGGGACATCGAGGGGCTCATATTCACCAAGCACTTGCTTTGTGCCAGGCTACATATTTACATCCGTTGACTCCCTTAAACCTTATCATAGCTCTTATCGCCGCTGGTTTAGGGAAAAGGAAACAGAAGCTCAGCGAATAATGATATAGTCATATCAATTACCACAGTGGGATATCAATTATAAGATGGGTCAACTTGCATGGAGCTTAACTGTGAGGCCCAGGGCAAGTCACTGAGCCTCTCTGTGTCTCAGTTTCTTCATTTATAAAATGAGGATAATAATTGTTCATCACATAGGGCTTAGGCAAGGATAATGCTTGGCCCAAGGTTTGGTGCACAGCTTGTGTTCAATAAATGTTGGCCCAAACCTCCATGATCCAGCAACCACCATATACCAGGGCCTGGGCTAAGGGCTTGCTTTCTATTACATTGTTTAAATATCATAATAACCCCAGGAGACTGACATTTTCTTTGGTAGAAAAATGAGGCTCAGAGAGGTTAGCTGAGTTGCACACGGCCGCAAAGCCACAGAACTAGAGAGTTGGGGGTGGTGAGGATTGCAGCGCCTTTTATCTGCAAGAGACTGCCCTTCCATCCAGGAGCCCTCCAGCCCTCTCCCTGAATGCTGCTGTTCCTAGGCCCCAGCACACTGTTGTTTTCCACCTGAGGCCAGCACCACCTCCCACTCCAGCCGATCCAGACTGCGCTCGGATGGGCTCCTTTAAATCTACGCACCTGTCTGATGCTCAAAGGTGGGGTAATACTCTTCATTGCTGAACAGATCAGTCCACGACATCAGGGGATCGCAGAAGGATGCGTTAGGCAGGAAGGTGCTGTGTGTCACCGAGTCCAACATCACCCTGCAACAGCAGGAGAGGTTGTGAGGAGGCTGGGGTGAGGGACATCTAAAGCCACCCTCTGCAGGAGCCCCTAGCAGGGAGATATTTGTTTTTGTTTTTTTTTTTTTTTTTTTTTGAGACGGAGTTTCGCTCTTGTTACCCAGGCTGGAGTGCAATGGCGCAGTCTCGGCTCACCGCAACCTCCACCTCCTGGGTTCAAGCAATTCTCCCCCCTCAGCCTCCTGAGTAGTTGGGATTACAGGCACGCGCCACCATGCCCAGCTAATTTTTTGTATTTTTAGTAGAGATGGGGTTTCACCATGTTGACCAGGATGGTCTCGATCTCTTGACCTCGTGATCCGCCCGCCTCAGCCTCCCAAAGTGCTGAGATTACAGGCTTGAGCCACCGCACCCGGCCAGTTTTTAATAATAACAAACACACCACTCACTAGGAGCAGGCATCCCCTAATGTCACCTCTGAGTGACATTATTTCACCCTCACCACATCTTGTCTATCCCCATTTTAGATGAGAAAACTGAGGCAAAAGGGTTGAGGCAATTACCCAAGTGACATAACTAGGAAGTGTCAAAGAGAAGACTTGAACATGGAGACTCTGACTCCGCAATACTGCTCTTTATTTATGCTTCCTGTTTGCTGACACCTGACCCCTGAACTCTGACTTACAATGTTCAATACTATGCTCCCAGAAACAGGGTACGATGCAGCCATAAAAAAGAACAAGATCATGCCCTGTGCAGCAACATGGGTGCATCTGGAGGCCATTATCCTAAGCAAATTAAATCAGGAGCAGAACACCATATACCTCATGTTCTCACTTAGAAGGGGGCACTAAACATCCGGTACTCCTGCACAGAAAGATGGGAGCAACGGGGGACCACTAGAGGGAGGAGGCAGGGAAGGGGCCAAGGTTGAAAAACTAGCTACTGGGTACTGCGCGCAGTATCTGGTGATCAGATCAACAGTACCTGAAACCTCAGCATTATGCAATACACACAGGTAACACACCTGCACACATACCCCGAATTTAAACTAAAAGTTGAAACGATAAAAATAAAATAAATTTTTTTGGAGAAAAAAACAAAAAACAAAACAAAAATCTGTTCACGTGAATTCTTTTTCTGATTCTTGACATAATGTTGAGATAGAGTAGTTCTTCCCTCATTTTGCAGAGGGAACATAGCAGCTCAAGATCACCACACTGGTAAGTGTGTTAGGATAGTAAACACATGGAAGTTTAAGACTGGCAGGAGCAAATTCTTTGTCTAGTTCAGTGTTTCTTATACTTCAGTAATTTGTGTACCACTGTGATACTTTCACTCAATCCATATAATACAAGTACTATTATTTACTAAAATATTTTTAAAAAGTCAACTCTTTTTTTGTTTTAATATAAACATGCTGATTTAAAAGGAATACCTTATATTAGCATTATAAATTGAAAGTCGAGATTTTTTTAACATACGTAAAAATAAATATTTAAGCATTTGAATAAAAATAGTTCACGTGCCTCCTAAATCAGGGGTGAGCAAACTACACCCTACAGGCAAAATGCAGCCCCCCACCTGTTTTTTGTAAAGCCTGTATTACAAATAATTTTACTGCTGGGTGCAGTGGCTCTTGCCTGTAATCCCAGCACTTTAGGAGGCCGAGGCAGGTGGATCACCTGAGGTCAGAAGTTTAAGAACAGCCTGGCCAACATGGTGAAACCCCACCTCTACTAAAAATACAAAAATTAGCTGGTTATGGTGGCATATGCCTGTAATCCCAGCTACTCTGGAGGCTGAGACAGGAGAATTGCTTGAAGCCAGGTGGCGGAGGTTGCAGTGAGCTGAGATCACACCATTGCACTCCAGCAACATTCTGTCACACACACACACACACACACACACACACACACACACACACACACTTTACATTTTTAAGTGGCTACATTTTAAGTGGTTATATAAATATTTACATCGTATCCTTGCTTTTGCCTTTTGGCCTGCTAATCCTAAAATACCTGGCCCTTTAAGAAAAAGTCTGCAACCCATAACCAGATTTATCTGGCATATTACCAGTTGATGTGAGTACCAAGTGTTGGAAAATACTGAGTTAGCCCAATTTCCCTCCTCAGCCTCCACCATTTTACAGTTGAGGAAGTTGAGACTCAGTGAATTTGTGTAACTACCTCAAGGTCACATAGCCAATGGATGCCAGAGTGAAGTGGCAGGGAAGTCCTTAGTTTTCTGATTCTCAGCCCATCTGCTTCTCTTTCTGGAAACACAGTTGAGCCCCAAGGCACACTTATACAGCAAATCAAGCCTCAGCACTAAGAGGGGCAGGGTCGTGTGATTCTAAAATCAAACATTAATTCTTTACAGTGCTTGAAAATCTGCCACCACCACCACCATCATCATTAAATATGCATGAGAGGCTGGGTGTGGTGGCTCATGCCTGTAGTCCCAGCACTTTGGGAGGCTGAGGTAGGCAGATCACTTGAGATCAGGAGTTCTAGACCAGCCTGGCCAACATGGTGAAAACCCGTCTCCACCAAAAATACACAAATTAGCTGGGTGTGGTGGTGCACCCCTGTAATCCCAGCTACTCAGGAGGCTGAGGCAGGAAAATCGCTTGAGTCCGGGAGGCAGAGGTTGCAGTGAGCGGAGATCATACCACTGTACTCCAGACTGGGTGACAGAGTGAAACTCTGTTTCAACAACAAACAACAACAACAATAACAACAACAACAACAAACGTGCATGAAAACTCCTCTCCAGATGTAACTATCTAACCGAGTTTGAATTCTGTCACTTAGGCACCTTCTCTGGGCCATCACTCAGGAGTTTCCACCCTCTGCTGGGAAGTCTTCTCTGATGCCTGGAGAGGGTTAATGTGCTCTGCAGATTATCGTGGGCGTGGATCTCCTTCTGGGAGCCCTATCAAACAGACTTCAAGGCTGCCTGGGTTTGGACTGTGATTTTCTCATGGATTGGCTGGTTTTATATCCTGATGGTGGGGGGCAGGGAGGGGGAGGGATGCTGAGGGATGGGGTGAGAGGTTATGAGGGAGGGAAGGGCCCCAGGAGCTGAAAGCGACTTCTGTATTCTGGACTGGACTTCAGAAAAATTCCTCTAAGTGAGGGCAGAAGACAAATATATCCCTTTTTCTTTGGGCCAGAAGGCTCAGAAAACTGAAGAAAAGGATGGCAGGCCTGTGATATGACACTGGGTTGGGAGAAAGGAGAGGTGAAATCTACATGGAAGAAAACAGAAAACAGTCCCTAGGTTTTCATTGTCAAATAAGGAATCCATCAAATACAAAGTACCACAGTGGGAATGAGATCTTTCTCGTCTATGCCTGACTAATTGCTCTCAAATGTCATTTGGTATTTAAAAAAAGGATCATTTGGTGAACTGAATGGAATTACATAAAAACTAGGAATATTTTTCGATCAATAGGATTTTTACCTCCTTGAATATTGTTATTCTTTCTCCTCTTTACGCCGGCCCACTCACTTGATTTGTAATCTCTCTAGTGATATATATGTCACTGATTCTGATTCCCTCTAGTAATTCCTTCTAAGGCAAATTATATCCATTAAGTTTTCATAAAGGGCCTTGTGAGGTGTGCAACATGCTATTTTTCTTCTGTAATTATTTCCTGCTTTTGGAAAAAATATCTTTTAGAAAAGCAGAAAAAGGTGGTTTTTTTCCCCCATTACAGTAGGAGCAGGTATTATTAACTCTGGGCTCTCCACAAAAGACCCTGGCTACTTAGCCAGCATGCAGTAGGTGTGGGAGTTCAGGAATAATGGCTGCTTTGTATTCAGCAGCCCCTCTTTCCTAGGCCCTCTAAAGTCCTTGCAATAATTGAACATTTCAGCGCTTAAGGACTTTGTCAGTGGAGGTAGAGCAGGATAGGTGGGAAAAGGCCTGTGTTTGAAGCCCCCTTTCTCAGCAGTAACACTGAGGCCCAGGGATATGCAAACACAGGCCTGAAGTTAGGCCAGGCCTGCTGAAGGCAGGTGATATTGCCCCCCTCTTCAGGGGACAAAAATGGGTTCTTGGGGGTCAAAACACTGAGATTTTTTTTTGAGACAGAGTCTCATTCTGTTGCCAGGCTGGAGTATAGTGGCGGGGTCTCACCTCACTGCAACCTCCACCTCCTGGGTTCAAGCAATTCTCCTGTCTCAGCCTCCTGAGTAGCTGGGACTATAGGTGCATGCCACCATGCCCAACTAATTTTTTTTTTAGTAGAGACGGGGTTTCACCATGTTGGCTAGGATGGTCTCGATCTCTTGACCTTGTGATCCACCTACCTCGGCCTCCCAAAGTGCTGGGATTACAGGTGTGCGCCACTGTGCTCAGCCAAACTGATATTAATTACAGTGTTTTATCACCCTCCAAAGGTCTACAGTAGGTGTATACTATATCTCTGGTATTCACATTTCTGGTGGGGAGATGATTAAGAAAAAATGATCTAAAAAGGGTCCTTAGGAAAAGTGACACAGAAAAAAGGTGGAGGAGAGCTGCGTTAGCTAAACCTGGCATCAGCGGCAGGACTGATGGGGGTCTCCAGGGAGGTCTCTTGGCCTGCTGTTCTGGCCACACTTTTCATTTTGTGAGGGACTGGCTGGTTCATTCTGGAAGTAGCCCCAGGCTTGGAGTTATGATTCTGCCACTTGCCCCTCTCCGTATCTTAGTTCTTCAACTACTAAACAGGAACACAAATAAGACAGCCCCCAAGCTCTGCCCTAACTCTGTGACTTTCTGCAGACACCCACCTGATTGAGCCAACACATCCAAACCTGGGCACTCACACACACATATGCATCTACATTGATTATATTTGGATTTTTTTGGATCAAGCAAGTCCAGCAAATTGGAGGAAAGTGCAACCAGTACACACACAGACTGAAGTTTTAGTGCAGAAAAAGCCCCCTGACTTCCTCTTCCCCCTTTTCTCCTGTGCCCACTGCCTTCTACTACAGTTGGATGTAGATATCTCAAGACAGCCGGACATTCTTCGCCCGGGCTAGCTCGGCACCTTAAACACTCTGGACCCTCACTCACTGCCCACCAGTAGATTCATGGCAGTTGGAATCAGTTTCCCCCAAAGTAGTCACCGTTCTAGCTGTCCGGTAAGTAGGAAAGGCTCAAGAATGGTTAACACAAGGTGGAAGAACCAGGTGGGCTCACTTCACACGTAAGAAAGTCGGCTGCAGGTACCTGTGGGAGTGAGGCAGCGATGGCATGGAAACTGAGGTCCCCGGGAACCTCCGGTGGCTTCTGAACCCTTCTCAGAGCCGGCTCACGCACCAAATGCACACAGAGAGGGTCCACCCAGTTGGAGGGACAGGTCTGTGGGCTTCTCAGTGTCACACAAATCAGAGGCAGCAATAACAGGTGTGACGCCCATGGCCTGCTCAGCCTCCCAGAGAGAGGGGAAGGAGCAAACCACTCAGCCTTGGCCAGTTTGCCAGAGGAGGAAAATTCCTTCCTGACTCCGGTGGTGATCATCAACTTCACTCTGGGCGTGTGACCAAAAATCGACCCAATTAAGCATCTACACATTGGCTGTTTACGTGCCAGATCATCACTGGGCAGAACAAGGCCACAAGGGTGCAAAATATAGAAAAAAAGGGGCCAAGAAATGGATTCCTTAATTCCTTAATTCCTCTGGGTTAGGTATCACTAGGAAAAAAATCAGTTTTCCTTCCCCAAAGCCTCAGCAACACCCAAATGTTCACTCCATCCCAAGCCTTTTGAGCAAGGGAGGGTCAATTTCCCAGCCATTGGACCTCCCTAAGAAGGGGCCCATTGAGGAGAACCCAGTGGAGTATTTCAACACTCACTGCTAAAGAAAGATTGAGGGTTGGGTGCTTGAGTGTTTGTTCTTCTCGCAAGAACCCCAGCAGCCATGAGAACCAATTTGCTGACCTCTTGTCAAGTGACTCCTCATTTTTCTTTAGCTCGCTTAGGGAGTTTGCATGTTTGTTTGTTGATAGCTATTTTTCTGAAGGTGCAGTGAAGATCCAAAAAGGTATCCCATGTAGTTTGCTGTGGGCTTCGAAGCAAAGCTTACCAGTTTTGGATTAAATACATCAGGGGTTAAATCCTACCTCTGCTGCAGCGGGCATGGGGCACATTTCTGCCCAGCCTGCAGAAATTCTTAAGCTTTTTTTTTATACAGGTGTGGTATATAAACATTCATGCTCCTCTTTGAACTCTGGTTTCCTCATCTCTAAAACGGGGATTTTTTTTTTTTTTTTTTTTTTAAAGCATGCAATCCTCAAGATGTCTTGAGGATTTGAGAAAATTTATTAATATATGCAGAGGACGGGGCATAAGACATATATTCAATACTGTTTTAGAGGGAAAAATCAAACAGCCATCAACAATGTATCTAGAAATTTGCCACTCTGGTGACTTATGAAAAAGGGAGACGATCAAACTGAAAACCCCAGTCCGAGACTACTTTAGATTAGGAAAAACATTCTCGCAGAGAACTCGAAGACAAAACAATCAAGCCTTCACTCGGATGGGCAAACCACCCCTTTCCCTGGGTCTCTGAACTAGGACTGAAACACAGAGCTGCCTCCCGAAGTCACCTAGCCTTTCTGGCCTTGGTTTCCTCATCTGTCACACGAAGCGGTTGCACCTAACGATGTCTGACACGCTTCCGGGCGTACAAAACGCTCATCCATCCACACGCGGCCCGGCTTCACCCTGAGAAGAGAGCTTGTGCTACCGGTGGCCGTCAGCAGGGGGCAACCCCGCAGAAACCCGCACACTGCAGAGTCTGGCAAGACCTGAGAGCACAGTGGAAAAACCCTAACCATTGCTTTTCTGGAAGCATTCTCTTCTGGGGAGATGTCGGAGGGCAAATGGGTTTCTTTTAAAACTCTTTGGTACAGACAAATTCCTGAAAAAAATACCCCAAACTATTATAAAGCAGTTCTCTGTATTGAGGGGGTGGGGGACAGTGGGCAGGCCGGCCGGGAAAGGAATTCAATCAGGGAGAAGGGTAGGCGGGTGGAGGCGGGGGGCTGGGGGGGCTTTCCTTGAAACTGAATGTTTTTCTGCGTAAAATCCAGCTTCCCTTCCTAAAGACAGCTTAAGGGAGGGCAGAGAACTGCGCGCCTGGGTGCCTTCTCTTAGTTCCCCTTGGTTCAGCTAAGGGATCCAGAGGGAGCGGGGTCTGTGAGGAGGGTGGGGGGCCGCACGGCCTGCGGAGGCAAACAGGTCTCTCCCAGACAAGCTGTCACATCCGTGTCAAACAGCTCCCGGGAGGCCCCGGGACTGCACCCAGCGCAGAGGCCGGCCCTGGAGCTGGAGATGGAGGAGCAGATCCAGGCCCCAGGCGGAGCCTCTGAGCCCCAACACCCCCTAAGATTCATCCAAAAAAGCAAAGAAAAGGCGCTTACGTGAGGACAGCGGTGGCTAGGTCCAAAGAGGAGGCTTTCAGGGCAAGAGAAGGCAGGCGCTCCCAGCACCAGCCTGCAGTGGAAATAAAGGCACCTGTAGCCTTGTGATATAAGTGACACCTACAGACAGGTCCGTTTGGTTTTTCAGGTTTATGCACAGCCCCTTTGATGACGGTGACATACAGTGTGACACGGCTCCTGGAGGGGGGGAATGGCTCTCATATGCAGAAAGTTTACCTTTATCCTGCTTTTGTGCCCAGCTCACCCCTGCCCTGCAACCCCCCACTCTCAGCCCAGGGGACTCAGTAAACAAGCAGAAAATTCTTGTCCCTGGGAGCTGTGCGGGATAGTGCGTTTGCTGAGGAATTTTCCTCTGTGCAGGCTGGAGGGGAAGCGCAGAGCATCTCGCCTGGTGCCAGTCTCCGCTGCCTCCCACCCAGGCTGGCTGAGCCCAGTGCTTTCGTAGATCACTCATTCTCTGTTTTTTCCCATGTGCTGAGAAGGAAGAGCATTATAGGGCCAGTGTTAAGACCTCAGCATTTGCAGCTAGATGCCTTTGGATTCAAATTCTGTGTCTGTCATTTCCAAGCTGTGCTACCTAGAAAAACGTAGCTAACCTCTCTGGGCTTCATGAGTCTAATGTAAATGATGGGGCCTCTCCTCATGACTGCCGTGAAATTCACATGAGACCAGGCAAGCCCTCCATTAGCTAGGACGACTGCAACATGGTCCGTGATAGAGCACGTTCGGCAGGACTCCCCCTTGCTATTTCTTCCAACCTATGCCTTCCAACCAGGTGAAGGGAACAGGCAGCTCGGAGAACTGCTTTGGGGTCTTTTCTTCCACTTTTTATCCCTAAGCACCAACAGGGCATCAGACACATTAACTTATTAAACTTCTAATGCTTGTATGTAATGAGCCGTGCAGCGGCTTCCTTTCCCCTCCTCTGTTTTGCCGACGGAGAAACGAAGAGGCTTAGTGGCCCAGTCAGGTGTCCAAAGCTAATAGGCCAGGGGGCCTGATGTGGATGCCAGCTTACAGGTACCTTGCTGAGAACTGCCCGCTTTTTTAATACTTCTCTGTGACAACAGAAACTCTGCCTAATTTAGGCTGCGAAGCACAGTGTCCCACGTTACTGCTGAGGCAGGTATTTATAAACAGAATGCTGTTTTGCATTCTGCTTCTAGCCATCTTGGGCAGCCGAGATGTTGTATTCCAATGGCAGACTCTAAGCTTAAAAGCAAAAGCAGGGACTGGTTTGTTAGGTTTTCTTGGGATCACTGGGCATGGGTACAAACACACAAATACAAATACACATATAGTCTGCAGAAACAAAAGGCAGTTCATGAGAGCGTTCAGGGTGTCATCATGGAAAAATTGTTGAAGAAAGATAGGTGACTGCCTAGGCCGCTGTCTTGGCTGGGTCACCGAGGCTTCATTTTTCCCCAGTGGCAAAAGGAGGAAGTGGGATTAGAATAGTGATTTTTTCAAACTGCGACTTTAGGAGCCCCAGGAGTTCCCCCAGAGCCCTTACAAGGACTTCTGGGGGTGAGAGGCTGGGACTGGAGTAGAATGGGTTGGGCTCTAGACCACCCTGGGCCTTCCTGACTCAATAAGAGCATCTCAGCTTCTCTGTAAATCTTCTGGGTAAGATTTCATTTGAACAAAAGAATCTGCTCTTAGAAAAGGTTGGCAAGCAACTGGATTAATGGTCTTTGGGCCTCGCTTACGCTTTACAATTCTGTGACTTCTCTTCCTTTTTAGTTACTCGGGGACTGTGGGCTTGATAGTTGTACACGCTAGGTTTTCCACTGTGGGCACTGGTGTATCTTGTCACTGGTTTCTCAGATGTTAAAAATGTTTCTTTCTGAACACATGCATTCTTCTCAGTGGAGAGGTTTTTAGGGAAAACATGTTATTCTCATACTGTTTTTAGAAAAGAGCCTTTTGGCTAAAACAGTAACAGAATAACATGTTTTCCCTAAAAGCCTTTTTCTATACTCTCTTGACTCAATTTTCCCCCCAGAGGCTGTGGCTGCCCAACTGGCTCAGTTATCTGAGTGTAAAAGTCTTCTGACAATGGATGTGTAAGACCGTGAACTCTGTCTCATGGTCCCGAATGTATAATAGAGCATTTCTGGGTGCCTGTGTGTGAAATTACAGGGTTCTGAACCAGTGGATAAATGGGGTGATTAAGATAAACCCAAAATAAAAGAGGAATCTGACCCTAATTAAGTTTAACTATCACTTTAAACTTAAATTTGATTGGAGTGGAGATTTTGGATGATATTGAACATGAAGCATCTAAGAAGTGAGTGTTGAATGACAAGAAGAATGGGGACTGAGGACGGAAGAGGAAGGTAAGAGGACCAGGGTGCGGGGATGCGAACAGAAGAAGGAATGAGACGTTTTCGAACTCTCAGCCTATCCTGCTTCCAGTGTCCTGGCCATACAGCAATAATGAACACTAATTGGGCTCCTAATCATAACACAGTGGCTAACAAAGCAGATTCTAGAAGGAGACTTCCTACGTTTGAATCTCCGATCTGCTATTTGCTGTCCGGGTGAGTCTGGGAAGCCTATTGAACATCTCTGCATCGCGGTTGCCTCATCTGTAAAATGGGAAAAAAGGAATACATTTTTTTGTAGGGTTGTTGTGTGAATTAAATGAGTGAAAACTTGGGGAGTAGATGGAAGCCCTAAGTGTGACTTATCTACATTTTGGCCTGTTACATTCTTACATTAAATTTTCATACATTTTCGACAAGGGAGTTACTGATCATCTCCAATTTACAGATGAGAGACTGAGGCACAGAGAGGTTAAGTAAGTTGTTCATGGTCACACGGCTAAGTGGTAGAGCAAGTATTTTAGTCTAGGATGACTGCCTCTGGAGCCCATCCTCCTAACTGCTGTGCTAACCAGTTTCTGGGTGCTCCTGGGGCAATTCTTTGGAGATAGGGAGGAAACAATCACACCTAAAGAGCATCTGTGATATGCCAAGTATTGTGCTAGGATGAGTCACCTGTATTTCCTTGGTTA